TATATTTATTTTAAATTATAGTTAAAATATGACCCAGCACACCTCTCTCACTGAATAATGTCTCAGCATATGTAATAACTGCCATCTGCAGATCATTGTTTTATTAGAGGACTAAGGAGCCAGCAGGCATTATGGCTTTTCATTTTTCTGTGTATCATGATAAAAATTTCAATTTCGTCGTTCTTAGATTTGAAGAAGAAAATGCAAAAATAAGAGGAACAACTTAATAAATTACCAACAGCTATTAACAATGACACCAAGACAAATTAATCAAAACATATCATCTATATTTGGATTTATTCCTTTTTCCTTTTTTTTTTTTTGGACAATGCAGCACAGCTGAGTCTTCTCATTCAGCCTTACGGTACCTTCTGGGTAAACTGTGTAGTGGTCAAAAGCTAACAGAGTGACAAATACACACAGTTTGTTCCCGACATATGACATGACAGCACATTAATTCAGTAGCTAAAAATTAAAAATGATTCATGACCAACTAAAGCTATACAGGCATTCACTAACTTCTTCAAACACATTAGATATCATCCTGCCAAGTTTAGGCATAAGATCCGCATTTCCTAGCGGTTTTCTATCATGTGGCATCAGCTTTTCATACTGAAACAAACCAATTTTTTAATAGATTATTAGAAGATTAAATATGTAAAGCTAGAACTCATTGATATGCCATTAATCTGGAACAGACATCTCTTCTATTGATTTAATATATACTTTGGGTAGAAGAAAAGACAATGTTTTCTGCCATTCAACAGTCTACCACAAACAGAAAAACAATTCATCAGAAGTGACCAACAAGTTTTAATGAATACTGCAGGACCATGTGACTGACACAAACGTCTTCCAACTGATGTTATCAAACCTGCTACTAAACCTAATAGCAGAAACATAACATAGAATCATCAAATAGTTTGAGTTGGAAGGGACCTTTGAAGGTCACCTAGTCCAATCCCCCTGCAATGATCTGGGACACCTTCAACTAGGTCAGGTTGCTCAGAGCCCCATCCAACCTGACTTTGAATGTTTCCAGGGATGGGGCACCTACCACCTCTCTGGGCAACCTGTTCCAGTGTTTCACTACCTTCATCATAAAAAATTTCTTCCTTATATCCAGTCTGAATCTACCCTCTTTTAGTTTAAAAGCATTATACCTTGTCCTATCACTACAGGCTCTACTTTCTTGTCCCCATCTTTCTTATAAGCCCTCTTTAAGTACTGGAAGGCTGCAAAAAGGTCTCCCCAGAACCTTCTCTTCTCCAGGTCAAACAACCCCAGCTCTCTCCGCCTGTCCTCATAAGAGAGGTATTGCATCCTCTCCGATCATATCTGCGGCCTGCTCCAACAGATGCATGTCATTTTTTTCTGGGGACTCCACAGCTGGATGCAGTACTGGGTGGGGACTCACCAGAGCAGAGCAGAGGGGCAGATTCACCTCCCTCAACCTGCTGGCCATGCTTCTTTGGATGCAGCCCGGGATGCAGTTGGCTTTCTGGGCTGCCAGCGCACACTGCTGGCTCATGTTCAGCTTTTCATCTACTAGTACCCCCAAGTCCTTCTCCTCAGGGCTGTTCTCAACCCCTTCATTCCCCAACCTGTGTTGATACTGGGGGCTTGCCCTGACCCATGTGCAGGAACTTGCACTTGGCCTTGTTGAGCTTCGTGAGGTTCACATGAGCCCATTTCTTGAGCTCATCCATGTCCCTCTGAATGTTAAAAATGGTTCAGAGAACACGTTAAATTCTGACCTAAAGCCTTGCTGGTTATTTCAGGTCCTGCCAGATTTCTTTCTCTTTTTCAATGTTTTACAGTAAGTGATTTTTTCCCACTTAAAATTAAAAGATTTGCAACTCGATGCATGTGACTGGTTTTTTTTGAATGTAAGTGAGAAATAATGAACACAACTTCTTCAATTACTGTATTACTAAAAACTAAACCAAAATAAATAAATAAAAAAAAATTAAGTCAATTCAGTAAGAAGTAGGTGATAAGGCTGACTGGGTAAGTTATTTAGGTAGCAGTTTAAAAAAGAGCTATTGTATGGAAGTTAAAAATAATAAAAATAAATTACGTTTAAAAACCTCACAAAGCATTACTGCTTGAAAGAAACCTCATTTGTATCAGAAAAGCATTAAATTCTAGAAGCCCCTGTACATTTTGGCTTCAGGTGACAGAAACTTGCCACCAGAGGGAGCCCATAATATCTGGTAGAAAGAACATCACCGGTCCGAGAAATTTCAGATAGGCAGACGAGAGTTTAAGAAAATGATTGCTTATAGCTAGAAAACTTTACTGTAAATTCATGGATGACACAATAAAACAGCCCTCCTAGTACTTCATTTCAGATTCATTCTTATTTTTACAGATATAAATAAAAGCAAGTGAACTCTGCTATGAAGAACTGTAACTGTTAGAATATACTGAAATAAACTGACATACATTTTGCATTACCTTTTTAGTTTATTTTGTTCTCAAAATTCAGTGTTTCAGAAAGTGGTCACAATCTAATTTAGCATACTAGCCCACAAATAATATGGAACGGAGAAAGACTACATAGTCATGGGGAATTTTAAAAGTATTTCCTTCAAACAGATTTAGGACTGGAATCTTAAGCAGCAGTGACATCCGTAAGACTTTTTTTTCTACATTTGTTTTGTACGCCAAGTCAATATTATTTTTACGCTGAATTTTTATCTGAGAAGCCATCTCGTTCTCCAGCCTAATTAGTAGATACATCTCACACAGAAAGAATTCCAACATTTGCTCCCTGAGTTAAAACACCTTTCTATCAAGAACAGGTCTCAAATGCACAAGAGTAATTTTTAGTCAAGAAAAAGCAGTCCTTACCACACTGGGTATTTGTTTCATTTTTAAAAGGCTGATAACACACTGTGCCTTACACATCTCTGAAATTCTCAAATGTGTAAGATTGTAAATTAATAAAATTAATGTAATACAAGCAGTAACCCTAATTAACATCTCTAGTGGTCTGTGTTTCTTGCCTTTGACACTTCACAACTTCTTGTGAGGTCGTATTCTTTTACCGCTGAGTCTGCCAGTGTCTTCCAGCTGCACCATGACCGCTTTACGAAGTTGAAACCAATACAATAATGTAATAGCGTAAAAGAAAATTCAAGGTGCATACATTTCCACAGGAAATATACTATCTTTCCTTAGAACACTCTCTTACTAAAACAGTTGAAAAAATGAAAATTTGCTCTGGCAAAAGCTTTTATTTGCCCAGAGAATAAAAATGGGATTTGATGAACTCTGTAAAGCAGCAAATAAGTACAGTGTGTAAATTAAATTACAAAGTGAACTGTTATCTGTCTTATGATTACTGTGTTGTCAAAGAGGTGTGAACACTGAATTTTTATTTGTCTTTGTCCTGATTTCAGACCAACTGAACTTGAACCCCTGAAGTTCACAGTTTTTCTTTCTTAATCTTTACTGAGTATTTGCAAAATACACGATACATTCAAAAATTGTTCCATATACAACCTTACCTTAGCCCACCTGGGTATCAGCATTAGAGGATCACAGAAAGAATATGAAACAATGTTATGTTAAAAACACCTCACAGAGGCATTTTCAGATGCCTAATAATCATATTTAACAATTTAACATGTATTTTATCATAAACTATACTATTATGTATGGTTGCTCTGGAAAAAACGTTTGACCTTCTATACTACAAGACAGGTGCTAGTCAGGGCTCTCAGTGCTGAAGAAAACAGGAAACAGTACTACTGAACTCCTGTATTCACATACTAAGTGACTGTATTCATGACCAAATATTCAAGTGAACTCTCTGTTTTCCTATACTGCTAGATACACAGTTCTGTGAGATTATCTTTTTATGCCAGTGCAGGAAAGTCTTACATACCACACAACAAGCATAGTTTCAGGAAGTACTACTTAGTTTGCTGCTTAGAAAAAGATCTTCATACAAAATTATCCATTTTAATAGATTGCAAGTTAACCAAATAAATTGAGACAACTGTCCCTACAGTTCAGTAACAAGCTTCATCCACGTCTGTTCTGAATATATCAACAAATTTATATTAAAGTTTTGAAATACAATTTATGCAAAAACACATAGCAAACAACACATAGTTTAGACAAGGAACAGTTTCTAACAAATTTCACTGATGTACCAGGGAACAGTATAGTTTAGAAGCTTCCTTGAAGGTCTATACAGAGGGACTCAAGAGCTACAAATTGCCATGCTTTATGAACACAAATACTACACGTACATGATAATACACAATCTATTAACTTCTACAAATATTTTAATGTCAAAGCTAATGAATTCTGAGAATTTGGAATTGTAAGTACATAAAATATAATGCATTAACAAATAGGGGTTTGACCTTTTATTAGAAGTGGAAATCTGAAGTTTGAAAATTAACATTTCTGACTCTTACCGGGCCTTTCTTTGCCAGTTCCTTTTGACTCAGCAAATTTCTGTATTAAACTCTCAATTGTAGTATTTGTCATGTTATTAATAAACTCTTCATGGACCTTCAAAAAAAAAAAAAACAACACCACACAAAGAATTTAAAGCCAGTAGCTGAAAGAGGGTAACTTTTTACAGTGGTTTTCCCTAGAGTTAAGGCTCAAAATACTTCCCAATAAAATATACTACAGGGCTTCCAGAAATAAACAGGCATTTTACCCAGGAAATCCCTTCTTTGCTTTAGTAGTAACAAGCGTGTGTACGATACAGACACAAATCAGAAATGAAAAAATGCAGTTTGATGACTGGTCTAGGATTTACTTCCATTTCTTCCATCTAAACAACTTGTTATATAAAATTTTGCTGAATTTGTTAGCAACATGTCCCACTACAATGTCAGGAAGACAAGCAGGCTCTTGAGCCAGTACCAGTTAGGGTGTGAACTGTTACTACTGTATTATCACAGCTTCCACCTGCTTGAGTAAAAACATTACTGTGGCAATGTTTTAGGTCTGACAAAGGAACTACTCTGCTTTTAATAACAGAGTAGTTATTTAAAACTACTATGTTTTTAATAACAGGTTTTTCCAACAAGACAGTATGCATATGCTTTAGACATAAATAGCATGATGCTTCCACTTATTGGCAGAAAAACTCAGAACTTAGGCAAACAGTGACTCTAAGTGTATGCAAATAAAACTACACTTTAAAACATCTAGAAATTGAGGACTAGGTAGGATTATTAATTAAACCAACTTACATCTACAGAAAAAATACTACAAAAGCCTTTTTTTAAAACCCCATGATGTATAAAAAATTGAGAAACTTTTCAGAGCAATATAATTTCAAGTTTTAGTCAAAGAAAAGCACAAGTATCCTGATTATGTGTGAAATGAGTGCTAATTTAATATCTAGGGCACAGAACTTTGAAATACATCAAAAATGTCAAAACTTTTTGTTTTCTGTTAAGACAAAATTTATTCAGACTTATTCTGCAAATTTTGCCATACTGAACTTATAAAAGCAAGAGGAAGCCATAAAAAAATCAACCAGAAAGCCAGGGGAGGTGATTCTCCCCCTCTACTCTGCTCTCATGAGACCCCACCTGGAATACTGTGTCCAGCTCTGGGGACTCCAACATCAGAAGAATATTGACCAGATTGAGCGAGTGCAGAGGAGGCCACAAAGATGCTCAGAGGGCTGGAGCACCTCTCCTATGGGGACAGGCTGAGAGAGTTGGGCTTGTTCAGCCTGGAGAAGAGGAGGCTCTGGGGAGACCTTATTGCACCTTCCAGTACCTGAAGGGGCTACAAGGAAGCTGGGGGGGACTTTTTACAAGAGCCTGTAGTGACAGGACAAGGAGTAATGGGTTTAAACTGAAAGTGGGGAGGTTTAGATTAGATATCAGGAAGAAATTGTTTACGGGGAGGGTGGTGAAGCACTGGAACAGGTTGCCCAGAGCAACTGGGGATGCCCCATCCCTGGGAGTGTTCAAGGCCAGGCTGGATGAGGCTTTGAGCAACCTGGTCTAGAGGAGGGTTTCCCCACCCATGGCAGGGGGGTTGGAACTAGATGGTCTTCAGGGTCCCTTCCAACCCAAACCATTCTATGATTCTATGAAATCTGAGCTTATGTTGAATTTACCATCATTTAGAAGATGTCATCTTACCACGAGCACAGTAAGAAATGTTCCATTTAATAGTTAAGAAAAACACGTAACATAATCCAAACAAACAAATGATAATATAAAAATTACCTCTCCTATTTGGAAATGAATTTCTTTTATGGTATTTGACAATGATTCTATAATCTCTTTCATACGAAGAAGGTGCATTTCTTCAATGTCCTGAAATTTCTGTAAACCAATACAAGCAATTAATCCTAATGAAAATACTTCTTGAAGTACTAGACCTTGAATTTTAATAATTAAATACACTAAATGGATTTTTTTCCCCCCAGATCTTTATCATGGTAATTACAATGTTTAAGAAAGGAAGATGTGGAATTCACAGAGTTATGAAACAATGGACTTTGAAGTATAACATATCCTTTTAGAACCATTATCCAGTTTTTGTTACTTACTCTTTAAACTTTCACCTAGCCTGATTTTTCAAAAAAATCTGACCTATTTCTATCAAAAGAAACAGAGTTAGAAGTAGTTTAAAAAAAATCAAACCAAATTCTTTTCTCCATTACTGAAGAGTCTCATTTTTAAATCTAAACCCAGAAATCTTATTTCTGGATCTGCTTTGCACTCCTTCCTTACCACCCTCTCCTCCTGCTCACCCTATACACATTGTTTCCTTTTTCTAGTTAAATCTATATCCTTTGCTTCTTTAAGTGATTAATTTGTTTGATCTTGAAACTCGCTGTATATATCTTTACAGTTTGTTCCAATTTACCCAAACTTCCAGCTGACAACCATTTTAAAATCACTCCAATGTTTTCAATGACCCCTTCCTAGCCAAAGATCAGAACTGAAAATGTCCTCATCCTCCCCAGCAGTCAACCATAATCGTCTTGAAATCCTTGTTTACTCCTGCTCATTCCTAGTTCTCTTTCTATTTCTGTAACTGCCCTTTGAATTGTGTCCAACTTTTGGAGCACCACTTAATCCTCTCTCCAGTTTGTACAGTGTTCTCTGAAGACCATCTCTCCACATTTCACACCTCCTGCTACTCTGATTCACAAACACAACTCCATATATACACAT